GGACTGTGCTTGACGATCTAAGTCACTCAATTGAAAAACTCAAGGTATCTAGGCATAAACAATAAACTAAGAAGGGTTTTTGGGTTAGCCCTTGATGAGGTCAGAGCTTATGCCTAGATGAGTGAGCCGAGGGACAATATGACCTTTTGTGTGATTGTAGGCTTACAGGGATGGGGGCCAAAACGTCATCCATGTTCCATCACACGGCATGTATATAGATAGATTGTTTGGGAAAGCTAGATATCCACATTTGGATGATGTATATGCATGTGCGAGAAATACCCTTATGCGTTATAGAGCTGTAGTCGCACTAGGTCGTGGTGACCTTGACTTGTCTAACTTGAGTGAAAATCAAGCTTTTGTTTTCTATCTTTTATGCACAGCAGACATTACACCTACTTCTAAGCAAAGTTCACGAGGAAAATGGTTTGAGAGGCCCGCAACCCTTTCAAAATAAGTTAAAACTCTTTGAAAATTATAGTTCTAGTACTGGAAAACCTTCAAATCAACCATTTGAGCCTTGACCATTATGGTTGTGGAAAAAAAATTAGAATTCTAAGTCCCAAAAATAATGTATATTATAACACATTATCTAAACTGTCTATTTTGCCCTAAAAATAAGTATGTATGGATCTACAAGATCTATACCATTTTTTAAGAAACAAATAATATAATTAATAATGAAAATTGATTTTATTAGCCATCGTAGAGGTTTCCCATTTGAATGACGTTTCGAGGTAGGGCCGTAATTTTATTTTTTTATAATGGTTGGGCCTTATAGAAACTGCATCCCGTCCATTATTTATTTCTCTTTCGAAAAGGGTTAGAGGTAATGGCCCCCTTCGAATAAAGGAGCAAAGACTCAAGACTTCTATCTTGTTTCAAAATTGAAACAGACTTATTGGATTGAGGAGTGAAGAAGGAAACGTAGTCCAAAGGAGTTGAATAAATGAGAAGTAATGAAATGTTTAGAAAGTGCTAACGATAAACGTTGGGAGAAACGCATAGGAAGCATTTTGAATGTGTATAGTATGTGGAAAAGGCAAAAATTTATATGAGGTTCACTTTAAAAATATAGAATTAAAATCCTTCAAAAAAGGTTGTTTCCATGGTGGAAAAACATATAATTGATCATCTCGACATTATATATATATATATATATATGGTAGTCACTGTTGTATGCCCATACGCGAATGGCCCAGATTGAATCTGAGCCAATTTGTAGCCGATCTGACGCTTACGGATGTCCGATAGTATTTGAATTTTTTTTTTTTTTATACAAATCAAAATCACTTGAAATCTTAGACATGTGTTCTTCTCATCAAGGCGCATCTAATAAAAATATATAAAAAATAATAATTCGTGAAAAATAATTGACCAAAATACCCCCAAAAAGTTTCAGATGTATTTTGGTAAATTTATTGCATGTAAAATTGGTTTTTTATATTTTTCATAGATTCGCCTATTTTTTAAGAATACACCTAAAATTTCAATTGATTTGGATTTGTAGAAAAAAAATTTAAAATTCAAACACTATCGGACATCCGTGATCGTCAAATCAGCCCAGATTG